AAATTCGGGAGCAGCCCCAGCCCTGGGGTGCTGCTGGTGGTCCCCAAACTCAGATCCAGCCCAGAATTCCCTCAAAAAAATTCTCATCCGTGGGGAAGAAGCAACTCGAGTTTTATTTCCGAGGAAAATTTGCTTTCCTCAATATTCCCACAATTTCAATGGGGAAAACCAATAAGAAGGAGGATTAAAAATGCAAAGGCAAAACCATAAATGAATTAAGGTGGACTCTGAACCTCCTCGTTCGTCTGTGGGAAGCGAAAAGGCGGCGGGTGACGAAACAGGACCCCGGCTGCAATTCCCACTTGGATCATTTTCCCATTATTTATTGCGCTTTTCGTTGGGCAATCAAACTGACACAGTAATTAAGAGATGATTGAAAAGCAGCTTTTTTTTTTTTTTTTTAATCTCACATGAAGCAATTTCCTCTCTTTTTTGTAACTCGTGGGAAGCTCAGACTCACCCGAGCCAGGCAGGGACCCCCTTCCTTCATCCCACTGATCCCAATCCTATTTCTTGCCCCGGAACCAGCTCTGGCAGCGGGAAAGGCAGCGCTCCACGATAGTGGAAGTGCAGGAGTTGAGGCGGAAAGGGCTCCGTGGGGACATTTGGGATTTGCTGTCCTTGGCGTCTCCGGCGTCCCCAAGTCCCTGGGATTGGGACGCGCAGGGATCCGTGGAAATCTCGCTTTGGGATGCACAGGGATCCGTGGAAATCTCGCTGTGGGATGTGCAGGGATCCTCCAGGATCGTGCCCTGGGCTTGGCACGGTTCATCCGTGCCCAAATCCAGCACCTCGAGCGTGCAGGGCTCCACGACAGGGAGCTCCTGGCGGAGATTTTCCAGGTCGTCCAGGCAGGTCCCGGCGGTTTTGGGGACTCCGAGCTCCTCCTGGGGCAGCGGGAAGGTCCCGGCGGCGTCAGGGGGACACAGCTCCACGGTCAGGATGGATTTCTGCAGTGGGAACTTCATCACGCACATCCCGGGGGTCTCGAAGGTGAAGGGCTCCTCTGCTGAGCTCGGGATTTTCACGGGATCCGCGCAGGGCCCGGAGTCCGCGGGGAGGGATGGGGAGGTGACCCCGAGGGGGACCTGAGGAGGGTCACAGGGACAGGAGGGACAAACGTCCTGGCACGGGCAGGGATCCACCTGGGAATTCTGCTCCGGGGCCACCACGGCGCAGGGATGGCTCTGGGCAGCCTCTTCCGGGCAGGAACTGGGTGGGCACTGGGAATTCATCTCCCTGCGATGGAGAGCTGCAAGGAAAAGGAACAATTTCACACCCAATCCCACGAAAAATCAGGGGAAAATTCCTCATTTTTTCTGCTTTTCTCTTCAAACTCCCAAAATCAGCTTTTCTCATTAAAATCTGCTCTCAGCCAACAATTTGCCAGCTTTCTTTTTGGGATAACAATGGATTTGATTCACGTTTTCAGGTTTATAAATTTCAAGTGACTCCCTTCCCTTCTCCAGTTGTTTTTCCCTTTTCCAGTTGTTTGGAATGGATCCTGGATGACCTGGCAGGATGGGGTTTAATCCCACTAAACCCAGTGCTGGAACAACAGGAATTTTCCAGAACATCCCTGGGAATTCCGGAATTACAGCCAAGCCAGCGCGGGGAAAGGATTTAACCCTCTGAAACCTTTATCCCTGAGGAAACTGAGCACCATAAATCCCCATTTTTCAGCTTTCCAGGGAATCTATTCTGGAAAATGACCACCGGGATCTGCAGGATCTCAAGGAGACTCACCGGGTCGGGATCAGCAGGGCAGAGGCGTTCGCGTTATCCCGGGATGTTCCTGCTGTGTTCCCGGGCCTCCGGAGCCGCAGAGCCCCAGGCACCCGGAGCTCCTCACGGCCTCGCTCCGCCTCTGCCCCGCCAGAGATGATTTGCCTAATTATTTTTAATGGAAAACGCCTATTTCCGTGGCTGGAGCCGGACCTGGAGCTCAGGAATTCACGTGGCCCCGCAGACGCCAGGGAAGAATTTGAGAAATGAGTGGATTCCCGGCCAGCCCTCCAATAATCACCTGGTGACAGGGCAGGTTTTTGGGATGCTCCAGCATCCTCCAGCCCAACACCTCGTGAGGTCCATTAGAGACAGGATGGGATGTGGGATTTGGGGGATTCTTTTATTTTTAGCCACGTGTGACCTTTTTCTGCCTTGTTTTTCCACGGAGCTGCTGGAAACTCTTCGCTCACCGCTCATCTCGTGATGTTTTCTGTCTGCTCCCGAAGTTCTGACTCAAATCCTGTCTCCGTTGTCGTGACGGTGGCGTTGTCCTCGTGCGGGACGAGCAGGCAGGTGACCGGAGGAGTGACCACCACCCTTTTCCCTTCATTTTACCCCAAACCCGCTGAATTCCACCCGGCTGGAAATCCATAAACCCAAAAAACATGAATCAAATCTGTTCCCTTCCCCTCAAAGAAAACTTCGGAAAATCATTGGAATTGTTCAGCTGAGAACAGATTTGAGCAGGAAAAGCTCCTTTTGGGGAGTTTGAACAGAAAAGCCAAAAAAAGGAGGAGATTTTTCCTCCAGCCAGCAGCAAACTCCCAACCCAAAGGGTCACGAATTCCAGATTTATTTATTTCCAGGAAATAACAAAAAAAATATCCCAGACTGGGCACCCAAACTGGGAGGGAGAAGAGGCAAAACCTCCCTTGGTCTCCTGGTGGAAAACGGCCTCGCCTCTGGTGCGAGTCACTCCTGTCCCTGGTTGTGTCACTGGGTGACTTCGGGAGGAATTCCAGAGCCTTTGATGTCTCAGGGGAACTGGTTGGGTCTCTCTTCCTTCTTTTCCAGGCAGGGACAACTTTTCCGTGGGGAGAAAGCAAGCTGTGATGGCTGCGTGAAGTTTGTCACCTTCTTGGGCTGGGTGTGACCTCCTGGCACCAAAAACGGGCACAAAAATTGGCCCAAAGGCCACTGAGATCAGAGAGTTCATCCCTCATTGCCCTGGGTGTCACCTGGTGGAGCTGAGGCACGCGGGAGAGGTCCTGGAAGATCCTGGAGATCCTGGAAATGTGAAGATTTCCCTGGAGGCAAAGGCCAAAATTCCAACAAATCAAAGAAATCAAATTTGTATTAAAAAGAAAATCAAAGAATTGTGACAAAAATGACCAGTGGGACCAGGGCAGGGATTGGATTGTCCCCTGGGGTGGGCACTGGGGAGGGGAATCTCCAGTGCTGTGTCCAGTTCTGGACAATCATGGAAAGAGGGATGGGAACGGGGCTGGAGCCTGTCCAGGGATGGGAATGGAGCTGGAAAATCCTGAGGGAGATGAGGGGGCTCAGCCTGGAGAAAAGGGGGGTCCAGGGGGAATTTGGGATCTGCCGGGGGGATTTGGACTCTGATCCCAGGGAATGGGAACAGGACAAGAGGGAACAGCCTCGAGCTGTGCCAGGGGAGGCTCAGGATGGATATTTGGGAAAATTCCTCCTGGAAAAGAGAAAAGGCCTTGGAAGGGGCTCAGGGGGGGTTGGATCCCCACCCCTGGAGGTGTCCAGGGAATTCCTGGACCACATCTGGAGCTGTGTCTGGCTTGGCTCCCACAGCCCAAGACCAACCAAGGCCACCCAGATGTTCCAGGGACCTCGAGGAAAAGGTGGATTGGGAGATGCTGAAGGATTTGCCCACCCTGGAAAGGACTTGGTGATAATCCTGAGGCCTCTTTGAGCTGCCCAAAATATTCATGGAGAGGCTCTTCCAACTGAGGGATGGAGGGAAGACGGACCAGATTATCAGGAATAAAATTCCCAGCAGAAGGAATATTGTGAGAGAGCCAAGCCCCTTCCAGAGTCCCACCCCCCTTCCATTGCCCAAATGCACCAAAACAGCTTTTTTTTTCAGACTTTAATCCTGAGGGGGATTGTTTCCAGGCTGCCTCATCCGCATTTCCCAGTCCGTAGGAAATACGTGGATGGGGAATTCCTCGCAGTCATAAGAGTCTCATGTCCCACCTCGGCGACATTAAAAATTATAACGTCGAGAGAAGTAATTGAAGGATTGGAGCAGAGCAGGTCTGGATTATTAAATATTTGATTTCCATACCCCTGAGGTGTCTCACTTCCGGAGCCACGGACACCAAAATCCTATAAAAGGATTCCTATTGTCCTGTTCCTCAAGCCATTTTTGGTTTCATTTGGTGCTCGCTGGTGGAGAATTGGGTAAGTCCAGCTCGGTTTCCTGGGAAGTCACCTCATGGTTGGGATTTGGTTTTTTTTCATTTTGGAGCCGTGCAGAAGCAAATTAAAAGACTTAAAAGTGTTTCTGCTTGGGGATATTGGGGTTGGGATTCCCCCAGATTTTAATTCCGTCTTCTCGGGGGTTTATTTGCTGCAGGTTTTGCTCTTTGTCCATCGAGGAGGACCAAATTCTCTCTCTGTCCTCTCTGGCTTTGCTGCGTGTTTCACCCAGGGAATTGTTGGTGTTGGGAGAGATCAAAAGGCCAGGCTGGGACTTCAAAGGGGAGGAGTGGGAGGGGTGATAAGGAGTGGAGACTCTCAGGCTGCCAGGGAAGGCCGTGCCTGGGAGGAAAAATCGGGGTGGGAAGAGCCAGGCAGATTTTGTGGGAAAAGCAGCCTCAGCTGAGCCTTTCCTTGGGGAGGTTTTCCTGCGTGGAGCCGCCACTGGTGTCCTCTGGATGAGGGCAGGGTGATCTGAAGCTTTTTTGGGTGAAATTATGGAAGGAATGGGAAAGATTCATCCCAAACCAAGGGGAGGTGTGGGCAGGTGGAAGCTTCAGACCTCCCAGAAAAACTGAAGGAGCCCAAATAATTTTTGCTTCCTGTTTTGAGAGGAAGTTGCTTGAAAATAGCTACAAATTTGTCTAAAACGCTTTTATGTGGAGTCACTTCCTTGCCTCATGGCTGTTTTCCCAGTTCAGGATTCCATGGAAAAAGGATGATTTAATTCTGAGTATAGAACAGCCTGGAATGTTTTCATGCCTTTTAAATTTTATCCCTTTCCTACTTCCAGCCTCCCCCCCTTCCCCCCAAAAATGCGTCGCGCGACCGGCTGCCCGCTGAGCCAGATCTGCATCCCCCCTCCCGCCGTCCTGGTGAGGAGCTTCCCGGTGAGATCCAGCCTGGATCCCTGCGGCACCGCCAGCACCTTCCAGTGCTTCCCTTCCCGCAGGAGCCCCTGCTGCTACCCCGGCACCACCACCTACGTCAGCCTGGGGAGCCTGGCCGCGGCCCAGGCCGCTGCCTGCGCCAAGCCCTGCGGCCTCGTGGCCACCACGTGTGTCCCCCCGTGCTGCCAGGGCGTGGCCGGGTGCACCACCACGTGCAGGAACCCCTGCTGCTGCTGCCGGGTGACCGAGAGCTGCACCAGGAGCCAGGAATGTTGTAAGGAGGTCACCAAGTGCACAACCACGTGTCAGGATCCATGTTGTCAAGAGGTCACCAAGTGTGTCACCACGTGCCAAGATCCCTGCTGCCAGGAGGTATCCAAGTGCACTACAACGTGCCAAGATCCGTGTTGCAAAGAAGTGACCAAGTGCACCACCACGTGTGTGGATCCCTGCTGCCAGGAGGTCACCAAGTGTGTCACCACGTGCCAGGATCCCTGCTGTAAGGAAGTGACCAGGTGTGTCACAACATGTCAAGATCCCTGCTGCAAGGAGGTCACCACATGCACCACAACATGCCAGGATCCCTGTTGCAAGGAGGTCACCACATGTGTCACCACGTGCCAAGATCCCTGCTACAAGGAGGTCACCAAGTGCAGAACCAGGTGTGTGGATCCATGCTGCCAGGAGGTCACCAAATGTGTCACCACATGCCAGGATCCCTGTTGCAAGGAGGTCACCCCATGTGTCACCACGTGCCAGGATCCCTGTTGTAAGGAGGTCACCAAGTGCACCACCACGTGTGTTGACCCCTGCTGCCAGGAGGTCACCAAGTGCGTCACCACACGCCAGGATCCCTGTTGTAAGGAGGTCACTACATGCACCACCACGTGTGTGGATCCCTGTTGTAAGGAGGTCACCAAGTGTGTCACCACGTGCCAAGATCCCTGCTGCCAGGAGGTATCCAAGTGCACAACCACATGCCAAGATCCGTGTTGCAAGGAAGTGACCACGTATGCCACGTGTGTGGATCCGTGTTGTCAGGAGATCTCCAAGTGTGTCACCAGGTGTGTGGACCCGTGTTGTCAGGAGGTCACCAGGTGTGTCACCACGTGTGTGGACCCGTGTGGCAAGAAAGCCTCCAGGGGCCTCACGCCGTGTTACGATCCCTGCTGCAAGAAGGTGACCAAGTGGAGCAGCCCATGGGTGATTCCGTGGTGCAAGAAAGGCGCCAAGTCCAGCACCAGATGTGGAGATCCCTGTTCCAAGAAGGGGAGCAAGGGCAGCTCCAGATGTGTGGATCCGTGCTACAAGAAGGTGCCCAAGTGCTCCACCCCGTGCCAAGATCCATGCTGTGTGACCAGGTGCGACCCCAGGTGTGTGGACCCGTGTTGTCAGGAGGTCACCAAGTGCAGAACCAGATGTGTTGATCCGTGTTGTCAGGAGGTCACCAAGTATGTCACCACGTGCCAGGATCCTTGCTGCCAGAAGGTCACCAAGTGTGTCACCACGTGTGTGGACCCGTGTTGTCAGGAGGTGTCCAAGTGCAGAACCAGATGTGTAGATCCTTGCTGCCAGGAGGTCACCAAGTGCATCACCACATGCAAAGATCCCTGTGGCAAGGAGGTCACCAAGTGTGTCACCACGTGTGTGGACCCGTGTTGTCAGGAGGTCTCCAAGTGCATCACCACATGCCAAGATCCCTGCGGCAAAGAGGTCATCAAGTGCAGAACCAGATGTGTGGATACGTGTTGTCAGGAGGTCACCAAATGTGTCACCACATGCCAAGATCCCTGTTGTGTGACCAGATGTGCCACCAGGTGTGTGGATCCGTGTTGTCAGGAGGTCACCAAGTGTGTCACCACGTGCCAAGATCCCTGCTGCCAGGAGGTGACAAAGTGCAGAACCAGGTGTGTCGATCCCTGCTGCCAGGAGGTCACCAAGTGCGTCACCACGTGCCAGGATCCCTGCTGTGCCACCAGATGTGCCACCAGATGTGTTGATCCCTGCTGCCAGGGAGTGACCACATGTGCCACCAGGTGTGTGGATCCGTGTTGCCAGGGGGTGGCCAGGTGCCAAGATCCCTGTTCTGTCACCAGATGTGCCACCAGGTGTGTGGACCCCTGCTGCCAGGGAGTGACCCCCTGCACCACCACCTGCCAAGACCCCTGCCGTCAGGGAGTGACCACCTGCACCACCACGTGCCAAAACTCCTGCTGCCAGGATGTCACCACGTGCCAAAACCCCTGCTGCCAGGGAGAGACCACCTGCACCACCACCTGCCAAACCCCCTGCTGCCAGGATGTCACCACGTGCCAAAACCCCTGCTGCCAGGGAGAGACCACCTGCACCACCACCTGCCAAACCCCCTGCTGCCAGGATGTCACCACGTGCCAAAACCCCTGCTGCCAGGGAGAGACCACCTGCACCACCACCTGCCAAACCCCCTGCTGCCAGGATGTCACCACGTGCCAAAACCCCTGCTGCCAGGGAGAGACCACCTGCACCACCACCTGCCAAACCCCCTGCTGCCAGGATGTCACCACGTGCCAAAACCCCTGCTGCCAGGGAGAGACCACCTGCACCACCACCTGCCAAACCCCCTGCTGCCAGGATGTCACCACGTGCCAAAACCCCTGCTGCCAGGGAGTGACCACCTGCCAAGACCCCTGCTGCCAGGGAATGACCACCTGCCAAGATTCCTGCTGCCAGGGAGTGACCACCTGCACCACCACGTGCCAAAACCCCTGCCGCCAGGGAGTGACCACCTGCCAAGACCCCTGCTGCCAGGGAATGACCACCTGCCAAGATTCCTGCTGCCAGGGAGTGACCACATGTGCCACCACGTGCCAAAACCCCTGCTGGCAGGGAGTGACCACCTGCCAAAACCCCTGCTGCCAGGGAGTGACCACCTGCCCCACCACGTGCCCAGCCCCGTGCTGTGTCCCCAGCTGTCCCCCTCCGTGTGCGGATCCCTGCTGTGCCAGCCCGCAGTGCCGCGGAGGTGTCCAGGTTGTCACCAGGTGTGCCGACTCCTGTCCCACCACCTGCGTCACCCAGACCTGCCCCGTGTGCGGCCAGCGCTGCTCTGTCTCGGGCTGCCCAAAATTCCGGGCTCGCTGAGGGGCTCTGGGGTGGGATCCGAAGGAGACCCCGCTCCCTGTGGAATCTCCAGAGTAAGAGTAAATTTTCCTCGCGTTTTCTGCCGTTCCTGCTGTTTTTCCCCTCAAGAAAGCGCCATTCCTCACGGGATGTCACCGAGCGATTTTGTGCCCCCGGGATCGTTCCCCGGGAGAAAGAATCTTCAGTTCCCCCTCGCACTGGGAGTGCGATGGAGGAATTCCCCTCTTTGTTCTTCCTGATCTTTTTCCTTTCCGTGTTCTGAAGCAATAAAAGAAACGATCTTGGCATCGGCCTCCCGCATTTCCTTCACTTCCTCTTAACTCCATTCCTAAAATCCAGATTTTTGTAATAAAAAATGCTTGGGAAGGTCTCACTGGGATTGTGGAATGCCCTGAGGTGGAAGGGGCACACAGGGATCATCAAATCCAGCTCCTGGTCCTGCCCAGTACATGCCAAAATCCCACCGTGTCCCCGGGAGCGTTGTCCTGGAGCTCTGGTGGGTTTGGGATGGTGACCATCCCTTGGTGAGTCTGGTGAGCGCTCCCACACTCTGGTGGGAAGAGCCTTTTCCCAAAATCCACCCCAATTCCCACCTCCTGGCACATCTCCAGCCCTTCCCTCAGTCCTGACATCCCTGATATCCCAGATCAATGTGTGAAATCCCAGATCAGTGTCTGAAATCCCAGATCAATGTGTGATATCACAGATCAATGTGTGATATCACAGATCAATGCGTGATATCCCAGACCAACGTTTGAAATCCCAGCTCAGGTAGGATTTCCAGGCTGGAAAAACACCTGGAAATCCCAAAAAAGGGGAATTTTCCAAGCGCTCCTCCATCACTCAATCCCAAACCCCCAAACGAAGCTCGGAACCATCCCGGGAGGTTCCCGAGCTCGGCTGGGAGCCGGGCCTGGGCAGGGTTTGGCGGAGCAAATCCCGCTCGGAATGCGGGCGGAGGAGCGGGGGCGGCGGCAGACGGGGTGCGACCGTCTGGGAGCCGCCACCGGCTCCTCCGAAGATGCCCCAAGGCCCGGGGTTGGTGACAACCTGCGAGCTCCTCCCTCAGAGCTCCTCTGATCCCAGCGGGCTGGGGCACAAATCCTCCCTGTGGGGTTTCGTTGGAGTCCAAAACGCCCCCCAAAATTCTTAAAATTCTGTGCGAGCAACGATGTTCTTTGCTGCTGCTCCCAATTCTCTTGGTTTTCTGGGAAATAAAATGTAGGTCGGAGAAAAAAGTGGCTTTTGGATTAATTTTTCTCTTCTGGCGTGGTGCTGGCAGGGTACTTAATCCTTCATGTGTCCATAAAATTCAGGTTTGAATCATCTCGGAGCAGCAGAGAGCAGAAGTATCATTTCCAGAAAAAAACCAAAAAACTAAAACAACCAAACAGGAATTCTTCCTGCGTGACCATCTGGATGTTTATTCCACACCTGTGAAATTAAAACAGGCAGAAAACTGCTGCTCACTACAAGGAAATGTTGTAGAATCCCCCTGGTTCCTCTGTCAGGTGAGCTCTAAAATTTCTATGGAGATCAAAGCACTTTTATCCACTAAAGTAAAAAGAAATCCAGAGGAAATCCAGGGATTTGTCCTGAAAAAAAAAAGAGAAAATCAAAGCAAAGAAGTCAAAGAGTAAAAGAGGTGAGGAATTTTATTTTTTTTTTTCCATAACCACAGCCAGTTCCTCCTTCCCAGATTTAATTACTTAGGTGCTAATTGTCATTCTTCCCTGAGCGCTCACCTTCCGGAGTAAACAGGAAAAGAGGCCGGAATGGTGGGATTTGGGTTCCTGTCATGGCTGGATCCAAATTGTCCCTCGGGCATGGACTGAAGGAGCCACTCAGGTCCATGTGAGCCTTAATGTCCTCTCCTCTCATCCTCCTGGCATCCCAAAAATTCCAGGGTTCCCAGAGTCACCTGGACACTGCCCGGGGGAGCTGGGTCAGACCCTCCCACCTTGCCCAGGTCCTTGTGGGAATGAGGAGAGGGGAAAGTTGAGTCTGATGAAGGCCCAGGAGGGTTAATTGCAACCAGGAGTGTTTAATTGTGCCCAGGTTTGGGCAGGAAAATGGGGAGAATCTCTGATTTCTGTGAGAATCAATTGAAACGCACAGAAAAAATCCAACACCGTGTCCAGGTCTGGACAATCATGGAAAAGGGGACATGGAGGGGCTGGAGCCTGTCCAGGGGACCTCTTCTTGCTCAGGAAAATGGAAATTCTGCATGGGGATGGAGGGGTTGGACCTCAACACCGTGTCCAGGTCTGGACAATCATGGAAAAGGGGACATGGAGGGGCTGGAGCCTGTCCAGGGGTGGGAACGGGGCTTGGGAAGGATCTGGAAAACCCCGAGGGAGCTGAGGGGGCTCAGCCCGGAAAAAAGGGGGATCCAGGGGGAATTTTGTGCTTTTCCAGGGGGGATTTGGGATCTGATCCCAGGGAAGGGAAGAGGACAAGAGGGAATGGACTTGAGCTGTGCCAGGAGAGGTTCAGGGTGGGAAATTTGGGAAAATTCCTCATGGAAATTGTAGGCAGGCCTTGGAAGGGGTTCGGGGAGGGTTGGAGTGGCCATCCCTGGAGGAGTCCAAGGAATTCCTGGAGATTCCTCTGGATGACCAAGAGGGGATCGGACACAGCTTGGACTCGATGTTCTGGGAGATCTTTCTCGATCTGAGGGATTTTGGGATCCTGGAAAATCTTTGGCCTTCAGCACAAGACCCTTGGAGCTGGGGGTGCTGCCCTCGTGGAATTCCCTCACGGAATTCCCTCTGGAACACCCGACCCGCTGCGGAGGAGTCACCGGAGCCACCGAAGGACGTCGCTGTGGGGTCCTGACTCACCAACACCAACGTGACAACTCCAATGACTCCAATTGCCCATAAACGTAATGGAGATTCCCAAATAAGTGCCAATTAGGGATAACGATCCAGCCCCATGACGTTCCCACGTGTCGGAGTGCGGATCCCTTTACGTCTCCCAAAATAATCCACTTTTGGAAGGCCCCAATTTCTCACTAATCAAAGTTAACAACAGGGTGTAAAACATCTCGGGGTAGAAAGGGAGGTGCAGGACCGGTCCTCAGAGATGGTTTTGAGGTGAGCCTGGAGCCTGAGGAGATAATGAGGAGCTGTTCCAACCGGAATATGGGATATTCCTCGGGAAGATAAGAGTTGGAAGCTGCTCTGGGGGAAAATTTCCACACCCGGCAGCTCGAGGAGTAGAAAATGAAGAGGGATTAATCTGCCTGAAAATTCAGCTCCCAGATCTGAGCTCTGCTGGGTGCAGCTTCTCCTCCCATGACAAAGGAGGTGTTTAAGATGAGCAAACCACCCTCTGCCAGTCCCAGTTTATCCCCGGAAAAGCCTCCGGGGCAGCAGAGCCTCCGGGGAAGGGGGAGAAGCTGCACGTGGGGAGCTGAGTGTGTGGAAAAGCTGAGCCACCCGTGAGGTGGCAAAAAGCCCCGTGGAGATCCGTCAGCTCCGGGTGGAATTCCAGTACAAGCACTGGGAAGGAACCGGTGGTGATGCCTGGAATTCTCTGGGAGACTCTGGGTTTGGGGCGTAAACAGGACGTGCTTCTCGTGCTGGGTTGGTTCATTTTGGGGTGGTTTTTATCCCTATCTAGAATTTTTGTGTTGGTTACATTCCCGTCTCCGTGATTGGAATATCTGGGAGAAACGTGGATTTTCCATAATCAGCAAAACTTTAATAAAAATTGTGTCCTGGGCCTAAAGCCCACTTAAACTGGAGCCTTTTGTACTTTTCAGTGAGAGAAGAACATCTTTAAAATGAGGATTATTCTGCCTTGAATGGCTTGAAGTATTCCTCAAAAAACCTGGAGTTGTGTCCCCACTGAAACTGCCAAGCATGGATGGTGTAAATTCATGGAGAGGAATGGGTTGGGTGAATGAAATAATTTAATTTATCAGGAAAACTGGGACCTCAAGGTTTTGTGGGAGCGCTGGAGGATTGGTTGTGCCTTTCCATGAGAATTAGGACAGGGCATTTCTCATAGTAAATCCAATTAATTATCCATCTTCCCTAATAACAGCCATTCCCACGTTGGAAAAACTCCAGGTATCAAAACCCAACATTTATGGAAATAAGGCCACGGAAACGTCCCAGCGCATTAAATCCCTTTCTGAAAACCAATTAATTCAGCACCCGCTGTTTTTTTTTTAATGACTCCCCCATTCCCGTTGGGAACCGCATGACCGGGATCGAAGCGCGGCTGGCTCAGCATCACCTGCTTTCCTGGAAGAGGGCTTCCACCAAAAATTAGGATGCAAACAAACATGCAAAGCATGTGGAGGTGGAGCCTGCCGGGGCAGTTTGTGGTCAGCTGTCCATCCCCCTGGGCTCCCGCGTTTCCGGAGTTGACGCCACTCCGGCCGTATAAAAGGTTTGGATTCGGAGGCTCCCGCCAGTTCCTTTGGCTTCTCTGTCGCTCGCCAGGACCGGTGACCCGGTAAGTCCTCCTTGGCTTTATCAGGGAATGTTTATCAGGATATCTCGTGGAAAAGAGAGTTCATTCCTGGTACTAGGAGAGCTTCGCTCCTGTGCTTCTCTTCCGGAATTTGTCCTGAAGTTGGGGATTTTTTTTAGGATTTGCTCTGCCTGGAGGAGCTTGGAGAAGTCGCCTCCTCCAGAACTGTGGCTGCTTCTCCTCCTCCCTCCTGTTCCATCCTGGTTGATTTGTTCCTGCCTCATTAAGGCTGGGAATTAAATAAATTAAAGGATGCTGTGGAGCAGCTCCTGGGACTTCAAACAGGATGGGTGGGAAGAGGCTCTATCTGAAAGGAGGGAACTGCAGGATTCCTGCAGGCAAAGCCGGGGGAGAGCTCTGGGAGAAGCCAAGAGGAGGAAACGAGCTGGAAATGGGAGCTGCAGCCTCTGGGCCAACCCTTCCCTCACGGAAGGGTGAGCCCCATTAATGCCCCAAAAAAATTCCAGTGACGTCCCAGGATCTGGAGGATCATCAGGATGGGAGAGCTGGGAATGTTCAGCCTCTGGAGAACTTAGAGCCTTTTCCAGGGTCTGCAGGGGCTCCAGGGAAGGTGGAGAGGGACTTTTCCTCAGGAACTGCAGGGACAGGACACAGGGAATGGGTTTACACTGAAATATGGGAAATTTAGGTTGGATATTGGGAAGAAACTGTGAGGGTGGTGAGGCCCTGGCCCAGGTTATTCCATGGATTCCTCATCCCTGGAAGTGTCCAAGGCCAGGTTGGACAGGTCTTGCAGCAACTTGGTCTGGGTTGGAATGAGATGATCTTTGAGATCCCTCCCAGCACAAACCATCCCATGATTCCATGGGATAATGGCGGGATTTGTGGCCTCTGGGCTTTGTGGTTGGGAATTCCCAACCCAGGGAACGTGCCCAGGTGGGTGTGAGGATCTGATAAGGAAGAGACGTGCCCTGGAACATCTGCTGATGGAACAGAGAATAGGAGGAATTGAAGTATTTGTGTCTTATGGCTTCTACAAACTGGTGATCCCATAAAATTCAGGATTTATGGCTCAAAGCTTCCTTACAGGTTCCTAATGAAGGAAGGGGTTCTCTGGCAGTGTTAATTCCATAAAAACCCTGTGGTTGGCCCAGACCGTGGCACTCACAATGCCGAGCTCACGGATTTGATCTCTGCAGGGATCATTCCCTGAAGAGCTGGACTTGATGAGACCCTTGTGAGTCCCTTCCAACTCCAGAACCCAGGAATCCTGGATACGCACAGCTTTTCCTAATGATCATTTCCTCAGCAGAACACAAACCCACCGAGACCTCACACCGCGAATCGCGTCTCAATAAGCACGCACCAATATCCTGATAACTTTTTTTTTCTCTTTCCCAGCTTTTTTCCCAGCTCTTTCCCGCTGCCCCGGCACCTCCCCAGGATGTCCTACTACTACGAGCAGTGCAAGCAGCCCTGCCTGCCCCCTCCCTGCCTGCAGAAGTGCGCCAAGTGCCCGGAGCCCTGCACCACCCAGTGCGTCGAGGTCTGCCAGGCCCCTTGTGCCACCCAGTGCGCCACCAGCTGTGCCACCCAGTGCGTGGAGCCCTGTGCCACCCAGTGCGCCACCAGCTGCGCCCCGCAGTGCGTGGACGTCTGCGCCCCGCAGTGCGTGGATGTTTGTGCCAAGCCCTGCTCCAGCCAGTGCGTGGAGGTCTGCGCCCCGCAGTGCGTGGACGTCTGCCCCACCCAGTGTGCCACCAGCTGTGCCCCGCAGTGCGTGGACGTTTGTGACACCCAGTGTGCCACCAGCTGTGCCCCGCAGTGCGTGGACGTCTGCCCCGCCCAGTGCCCCGCCCAGTGCCCCGAGCCCTGTGTCACCAAGTGCGTGGAGAAGTGCCAGGCCGAGGTTTGCAACACCAAGTGCGTGGAGTCGTGTGAGGCCGTGTGCCTGGAGCCCTGCTCCCACCCCTGCTGATCCCGACGCGGGCCTGGCCCCGCGGGGCGGCTCCGGTGACCGGTGAGGAGCCGAACCCACGGGTTCTGGATGGAAAACACGGCACAGACCCATCGGCAACGCATCGAGGCCTCTCCTGCTCGGATCGTCCCACGCTGTCTTCGTCTTGGAAAACGTTTTGTGTCTGAGTGTTCCCTGTGTTTTCACTTCTGCTTGTGCCAGCGTTTTTTCTTGGGCATTCCTGATATTTTAGCATTGGGAATCCCAGGAAGCGCTGTCAGCAGCTGGTGGTGGAAGATGTCAATGCTTTTCCCCCTCCTTTCTCCTCCTGTCTCTTCTCCGTCTCGTAAATTCTCTGTGCAGCAATAAAAAATGACCATCGATGGCAGCAGCTGTCTTTTGTCTTTTTTCTCCCTATTTCCACAACTTCAGACTCCAAAATATCTTCCTGAATTTCAGTTTTCAAAAATGGTTGGGATAGGTTTTGTGCCTGCAGTAAAAAAAAGTTTAAATATGAAGAAATTCCTTCTAATTCAACAAGGAAATCATTGTCTGGTCAATTCTTTTCTGAGAGATACTTGAAATTATTGATAGAAATTTGATTTTCAGACAGAATTTTGGTCTTCACAGCTTGGGATTTGGGAAGTAAATCCTAGAAACCATTAAAAGGTGAATTTAAGTGGAAGAAAGCTTTAAATTAATAAAGGAATTGAACATCTGGAAAGCACCATTTTAAATAAATATATTTATTTAACAATCTTTATTTTGGATAAGTTAGAAGCTGAGGGTGACCCCATGGTCTGGAGGGAGTTAAGCCCATAAAAATCCCCAAATTTCAGAGATAAAGCTCCCACTGTGCCAGGTTGTGCCTGTGGCTTTCTTCACCTCCGGTTCCGTGCTGGCCACGCCATTTCCATGTCTGGGAATGCTGAAATCGCTCCCCACCTACCCTCTCATTACGGGAAGGGTGGGGAATATCTAATCTGCAGAAGAAAAGAGAGATATTTATATTCGGGGGTGTGCCGACACTGTTTCCAAATCGCCTTTTTAATGCACAGGTGGGGAGGCGAGGAGCAGGTTCCTCTTTGTGTCCCTCGCTGTCGACACCAGGAGGTGACACCAGGAGGTGACACCCTCAGGCGGGGATCATGGGAGGCAAAAAAACACAGCTGGGGAAGGCAAACACCTGAGCACACCTGAGAGGCAAAGCAGGAGCAGAAATTCCCCAAAAAATTGAAGGGGAAGTGAGGAATCAGCACCTCGAATTCCTCAGTGGAATTTGAGGATCCAGGCTCTGCCTCAGGAGCGACTCGGAGGTGGCACTTCTGTGGAATCTTGGGGACATGGAAAAGGTTTTAGGAATCAGGGCAAGCAACCCCACACTTGGGCCAGAAATTCCCAGGAAAATGAGGAATCTGCACCTCAAATTCCTCCCGAGGAACCCAAATCTTTGAGGATCCAAGCTCTGCCCTGGAGGTGCCACTTTTGTGACATCTTGCGGGCATGGAAAAGGTTTTAGTCAGGAATCATGGAACAAACCCAACCCCTACACCTGAACTCGTCTGGACTGGATAATCCCAGGAAAATTTATCGGGAAATGAGGAATTGCACCTCAAATTCCTCCAAATTTTTGGGGGTCCAAGCTCTGGGGTGCCGCTTTTGTGTCCTCTTGGAGGCCTGGAAAAGGTTTAAACCATGAATCATGGAAAAGGTTTAAATCAGGAATCCTGTGGAGCTCCTCCTCTCCCTGAATCACCTCATTCTGGAGCATTTCCATCCCGATCCATCACTTGTGCCTGTCATTGGAATTCTTCCATTTTCCCTGGGAACAGGGATCACGGGAGCACCTGGAAAATCCTGGAGGGACCTGCTGTGCTCCCAACATTTCCTGTGGCCAAGCCCTGACGCACCAGCTGTGGTCAGCACCGGGAATTGCTGGAATTCCTGGGATATTTGCAATAAATTAGGGATATTTCATCAGGCTGGTGGAAAATCTTCCTAATTTCCTGGGGGGAAAAATAAAAAGTGTTTCATTCTTGTTTTGGGGATGGGAATTAGAGAAGAGAAACAGCAAAATCCAGAACCACGGGGCTCCAAACTGGGATCTGGTGCCTCTCCCAGGAGACAGGACAGATTCCCAACCCCACTCAGATTTCTCCATGTGCTCCCAGCCAAAATGATTAAAACTCATTCCCGAGTGGATGTGAGTTGTCCCAGCTTCTGGTTCTTTGCAGGATCTCTGCCTGGGACAGGGACGGGGTGAATTATTAAGAAATTATTAATGAATTATTAACAGATCACCCCGTGATGAGCAGCCCTGGGTGTGCCCTGCGTGAAAAACACCCAGTCCCCCGCAGCCGGGAGAGGAGGGAATCTCTCCCAGACTTTGACTGAGGTCCAGGAGGTGGGAGCGGAGCCGGTTCCGGTTGTGAAAGATTCTGGTCACCGAGTTTAATCCGGAGTCATCGGCCCTTCCACAGGGATATAAAAGCCGCTCCTCGGGGAAGCTCCACACCCGCAGCGGCTCCTCCTGAGCTCCCTCCTCGAGCAGGACGCGCCAGGTGAGTCCTTCCCTGCCCCTCTCGCTGCCCAGGTGAGGGGTTTGGTGCCCCGGGGTGGGAAAATTGGGATTTTTCGCCGTTTTCTTCGCCAAACTGGGGTTGTCGCCCCAAAAAATTCTGCCTGCAATGGGTGGAAAACTGCATTATAGAATTTGGGGTGTTTTGAGGCTCCAGCCAGTGGTGTGGGACTCTTTGGGTCAGAACTCTGTGATAATTTTTGCCCAGATTGATAAGAATCCTGTGGATAACCAAAGGCTGGCGTCCATGGGCAGATGCTGGAATAGCTTCCCGGATTTTCGGGGATCCTGGATCTGTTTCCTTGGATAAAATCTTCAATCCACCTGAATTTCATGGCCCCGTGTGTGGGTCCTGCTCTGGGGGTCTCAAGGAGCCGGGGCAGAGGCGTGGTGGTTCCAAAAATTGATATCAAATATTGGGAATATTATCAAATATTGGGAATATTATCAAATATTAGGATTGGTATCCAATACTGGGATTGTTATCAAAGGATTTTTCCCTGTCAAAACTCCCAATCTTGAGATTTTCCCAGTTTTCTGCTCCTCTTTGGCTGCTTTTCTTGAATCTTCTCCTTGAGTTCAGCTTTCCAAATCCACGTTTTTCCCCCAAGCTTTTAAAAGTTAAGATTCCCAGAAAAAAATGAGCAGAGGGAAGGAAGGAAAACCCCTGCTGCCGTTTGTCTCCTCTCCAGCTCTGCAGCCTTTCCCTGGCTTTGTTAGGCTGGGTTTTGCCTCTGATCCTCATTTTAGGCACAGCTCTTCCCTGATCCCTCAGCGGAGCGACCAATCCCGCAGGGAATGGGAAGGGATCCAAAAAAAACCCAGTAAAGGGCAGGAAACAACTCCCCAAAATTCGGGCTGAACTGCAGCACCCTCAGGATTTAATCCCAGGAGCTGCCTGGTTTGGGACTGGAATTAAGTTTAAATTGGGGTCGATCTCGAAGCTGAGGCAGCGCCCGCAACCTCAACACCCAAAAAAGGCGAATTTAAGCCTTAAAAAAGGCTCGATTGTCTCCGTGATTTTGAATTCCAGGCCCAGCCAGGATGTCCCAGCAGCAGAAGCAGCCGCAGCAGATCCCGGCCCAGTGCCAGCAGAAGTGCGGGGCCCTGCCCAAGGGGGTCCAGCAAAGCCAGGCCTCCAAAGGCCAGGCCAAGGCGGCTGTCAAGAGCCTCCCCCAGCAGCAGCAGCAGCAGCAGCAGTGCTCCAAGCAGAAGTAGGAGCCGTCCCAATCCCCAAATCCCGCTCTTCCCACCTCTCCTGGCTCCCGGGAACGCCTCCAGACCTGCAGCCACCTGCTTCGCTTGCCAGGAATTACCTCATAACGAGAAGCGCTTAATTAGGTTTAAAAATGATAAATGAATGGCGGGGCTGGTTTTAATTCCGAGTTTAATTTGGGATGTGGTGCAATAAAATGATGGAATGATCTCGTGGTTGCTTCCTGGTGTTTTTGTTGGTGCTTTTCTCCCGTTTTCACTTCTCTTTCTCTTTTATTTTCCCCTAAAATATCAACTTTAAGCACACACAAACCCCAGCTTTTGCAAGCTGAGCCTCCTCTCCATCTTTTTCAGGAAAAGCCGTTGAAAATCCCCAAAACTTGATTAAAAAATCCCCAGAACTTGATATAAAAATTTCCCGCAATTAGGCACAAAAATTCACAAAACTTGGTGTAAAAATTCCCACAATTTGATTTTAAAAATCCCCAAAACTTTATATAACCTCCCCCCCCAAAACTTAGTATAAAATTTCCCAAAACTTGATTTCAAAAATCCCCAAAACTTTATATAAACCCCCCCCCCAAAACTTAGTATAAAACTTCCCAAAACTTGATTTTAAAAATCCCCAAACCTTGGCACAAAAATCCCCACAACCTCGTATAAAGCCCCCCACGACCAGGAACAAAAACTCCCAAAACTCGGTACTCAAAGTCGCTTTTATTGTGGAATTTTCACAGTGAAATAAATCCTGGATCCAACAGCAGCCGAAAACAATCACGAGACAAAGTCCCAAACACCGACGGGTGGCGAAACATTCCCTGCTGGAATTGCTCCTTTATCCCGTCTGCGCCACGCCCGGGGTTAATCCCTTCCCAAACATGTCTGGAGTGGAGTTAATTATCCATAAATTTGGGTAATTATGGAATATTCACGGCCTGAGCTGTTCTTTGACACCTCTGAGGAAATTTAAGGGGAGATCGAGCTCGGATTTATCCTATTTTATCCCCTCAATCCCAAAGGATTATTTTAAATTCCACCAAAGTCGGATCTATCCTAAATATCTTCATTTTTCTCCCTCAGTCCAGAAGGATTATTTTTGTATTCCACCAAAAAATTCAGCACTAATTCCCGATTTGGGAAGTTTTGGTGGCAGATTCAGCACAAAATCTGATTATTTATAGGGAAAAACTTCCCAAATTCCAGGTGGGATCTGGAATCCAGGGGGAGAATGCAGGAAAAAGGGGATGAGCTCTTCCCGGGATTTGGGGCTTTCTCTTAACTTCACGAACCCCGCCTTGCTCCATGATTTTTTTGGGGTTTTTTTTGGGCATTCCAAAGCCTCGGGATTGGGGAAAAGGGCAGGAATTTGGGAAGGGGAGCTACAATCCTGCTGGAAAGCATTCCCGACGGGAATTCCCTGCTGTTAGTAAAGGACAAGGCGTTAGCGGGAGGGGCGGCTGGAAGGAATTCCTGACAAAAGCTCTGCAGGGGTTAAAAAAAAAAACCAACAACAACAAAAGGCTTGGA